CTCTCTCTCTCTCTCTTTCTCTCTCTTTCTCTCTCTTTCTCTCTCTCTCTCTCTCTCTCTCTCTCTCTCTCTCTCTCTGTCGACATTACCTCTTTCTTATTTCACTACCCATACTTGTCTCCATAATTGCTTCCTTACATCATCCCTCTGTACATGTTTGCATCACCTCTTTCTTATTTCCGTACTCATACTTGTCTCCATAATTGCTTCCTTACATCATCCCTCTGTACATGTTTACATAACCTCTTTCTTATTTCCTTGTCCAACTCTGTCTGCATAACCACTTTCTTACTTCACCCCTCTGTGGCTGTCGGCATAACCTTATCTTCATTTCACTACCTGCCTGCGTAACCTCTTATTTCTTTCTTTCTTCGGTTAATGCCGGCATGACTTCTTCCTCACTTTCTCCGTGAACAGTCATGGACGTGTAAACTGCGAATAAGACCACGTAATTGTCACGTGATTTCACGGTCTGTTAGCAAGACATAGTGGTTTACATTTGTCTATTGCAAACTACATATTTGGTCATTTGCTTTTCACCAACCCCTCAGTAGCAGCCGAAAGACATAGCCATAGACATAGCCGAATCCCTAGAAACAGGATTGAATGTAGAAAAAGCCGTAAATAATTCGTCTATGCCACACGTGAATGGCACGTCTTACCGCGGGACACAACAATAACACTAGCGAGACGTCTATTAATTCTGCGATGCGTGAACGTAATTTCATTCATTGAGCACCACGCTCCTTTATCTGTATCAAAAACATCAACAACAATAGTAACGAGAGAATGGGAATACGGGCAATGAACAGAACCGAGTTGATTGATGCCAATGGTAAACTCATTGCAAAGAAAACCGTCCCTTGCTACGGTTGGCGACTAGCAAAAAGTATAACATCCTCTCGTGTTCGGTGCGTCCCCCGCACGCTCGGCTGCTTGGCGGTCACTTAAACGTTTCATCCACGGTCGTCCGTGCAAGTAGTGGCCTTATACAGCGCCTGACAAGAAATTCCATACGGCGAGAGATTACCGAGTGATAGCGCATGATTCGTGTTTTGTGTTCGACGTCATGAAAACATATGTCAGGGTTATAGTATTATATTATTACCGGTATTATTGTATTATTATTATATTATTATTAGGATTATGGTTACGTTTTATATATGGATAGAGATAGGGTTAGCGCTCTCGCTAAGCAGCCAGAACACGTGATAATCGCTCGTACCCGGCCAGTGGCGATTTGATCACTCGCACACACGCGCCCCAACGCTCACACGTATGCTTACACATGAATTATGAAATAGAGATCGTATAGTAGGCCTATACCAAAGGAAAATATTTTCCAGGACTATTTTAGAACTAAGAAGGCCCATTTTTCAAGACCCGCGATTCGAGTCAAATAACAATCGTACCTTGTATATTCCAATCAACAACTAGTGAACAAACTTTTCAATCTAGCAAGTTTTTTGTCTTAGACAGCAAACAAGGATAAAGCCAGGCTTTAATAACTGATCATAACTTCAGTATATTAATCCGTTATTATCATTTGCAGAATGTAGACACGATAGACATGCGCTCAATGTCCATAACTTTCCATGCCTAATAACCTATTTTCCACGACTATTCAGACATGGACAATAGCATTTTAATAGCTTTCCAGAACCCGTACGAACATTAAAAACGATAAATTATTTAGCATTTCATACAATTATACAGCAACGAACGCGGTAAGATAAATCAGCTTGGCCCAATGTTCGCGCAAAATGTTTCTTCGACGACTGTTTTGTTACTTGCACAATGCTTGCTGCGCATGTCTACGAGGTCGTGTACAAAACACTATTTTACGATTTATAAATAAATAAACGTGAGGAAGTATAGGGTCTGCTGGTGTGTAGGATGGATATTACAATTGGTCCACAATGTGATAGATGTGGTATAGTCTAGTCATTATACGTATATATGAGTCGACGGCAATTCGTAGGCATGCAACTAGTTTCTTGCGATTGTAAAATTCGATGATGATTGGTGTTTTATTGTTTAGTTTTTAAAACTCGTCTCACTTAGTCTCTTTAAAAGCGCCCATCCACGCCATGACGTCGTACTGTTCATCATCCACTGAAGCTGAAATTGATGCGGAATTTCTACCTTGAAAACTAATCTTAAACTAAACCGCCTTATTGCCGTTATAGTTACATTATTTATACCGAATTTCAAGGATAACATCGAGGCAAGGACTTCTGCCATCTTTTTCTACATTACAGCGATCATAGATAGTGAAGAACGCACTATATGGTCGGTCTTCTTGCACACATTCATGTTTCTCGCCAGTGGGCGGGGTTGGATATAGTGTCAAGGCCGGAATGGTTTGTAAAGAAGTGAGCCGGACGATCTGTGCGTCCACGTGTAAGCGCCTAGTTTTTGTTACCGCCAACCTTCTGCGATGGTAAATAGGCTGAAATGGCGTCGTGCTTTTTGACGTGAGCACGCGGAGCCGTGGCGCGCCACAATAGAACCTTATCGCGCCACCTCCTACTGTGCGGACACAAACTCTCCGCATTCTTCCTCTGAAAACCCCCGTCTTTAATTATACGTATCGAACGAGAGCAACTCGAATGTCGCCCGACTGAACGGTAGGAATATATTAACACACATCTCTCATTCCCCCGCGTGTCGGTGGCTACGCGTGTGTTCGTGCGCGCGCGTATGCGTGCGTGCGCGTGCGCGCGTGTGTGTGCCGATTAAAGACGACTTCCCGCGTAGATAAGCGCTACTATTGCGAATTCGCATCGCCGCAGGGTGTAGCAGTAACCGTCGTAGCCGCAACCGTAACGCATCGGCAGACGTAACGTATCGTATTAGAAATCGTCCGTCGTCGCAGCGACGTGCCACCAACGACGGCGATGACCCAGTTAGACATGATAGTTGAAGGCTGAAAACGAGAGCGGTGCATGGGTAGTACGTCTATCGGCCGTCGCACGAGGCTTTCTCATTGAAAGTGCCCGATCTTACACGGATGTTGACGCGCTGCATTCGTAAAGAGGACAATAGGCTGCGACAGAGCTTGCGGGCAGTAAATGCATGAGAAGCGTCACTCTCCCGCCCCCACAGACGGAATTGTACATACAGGTGTCTCTGTGGTTGCTTTCTTTTGCTCGTTCTCTCTTTCTCCCGCTCTCTCTCTCTTGCTCGCTCGCGCTCTCTCTCTCTCTCTCTCTCTCTCTCTCTCTCTCTCTCTCTCTCTCTCTCTCTCTCTCTCTCTCT